TCTATGTATGTAAAAACTGCTCTTGATCAATTAGCATCTGAATTATCCTCAAGGGTAAGAGCTAAACTGAAGCTTAGTGGAAGAATTATAACTGGTTACACCATACTTGAGGAGTACTTTAAAAATCGGATCTATTAGAAAACATCCACATGATTTAACAAATGTGCAGGTTTATTGCACAAACCAGTATGCAACACCCACACAATTTCATTTAGCATTTAAGAACGTTACTCAAAATGTTGTTAGCTCAAATTAAGTACATTTATTTGCATATTGAGAGAGTTAGGTAGTGCTAGGAAATTCACATGTAGGAAGAATATTTTCTATTTTCCATTATTTGGTTATTATTTTTAGGTACATTTGGCTATGCTATAATCTCTATCCTACATTCTTAAAAAACAGAATATATATGTAACAAGTGTTTCACATAATACAAAGCCAGTCTGGCCATATATTTTTGTTACTATCAATCGTAATTTCAAGCTGAATTTTACTCCATGTTTCTTAGCGGTATGTGCTGCTAAGCAGTTAGTTATTATTAGATTGCAGTGAACTGTTAACAAGAAAGAAACATTCAACCAAACCTAAAAAAACAAACAAACAAAAAAAACAAACCCAAACCAACCCATATAATGGTTATATGGTCTTGGATAGTGAATGTATCATCACATACAATATTACCAAATCATAGTTAATTTACTTACTCACTTATTAAGTTACCAACAATAGTTCTTATGGCTATAAAACAGATTCAACACATTTTACTGTGATAAAAGTGTCACTGTTTTTCAGAATGAAATGACAAAAAGAAAAAGAGTAATCCAGAAGCTTCTGATTTCAGTTACAACAGAGATCTCCAGAAAAGGGGATGTTAAAGCTTTGAAGTTACACACACATATTAAATGAGTCAGCGAATTAACTCTGTACCATAGCTTAAAAAGTGGATACCCTATCAATTCAGAATATATAAAAAAAGAGACTTACAAAAATGTTGTTTACAATCAAAAATTAAAAATATAGAGATTATGGAGCTGAAGATATTGAATGTGTGATTATCTGCATTACAAAAAAGAAAATGTGTGCTTCAGAAAGTATTTGAAATACTAAAAATCTGATGCTGTAAAAGTATAGGAGAGTAGCTTGGAACAAAAGAAAAGCTCTATTATTATAACCTATCCGGTGGGTAAAAGTACAACAAACAGTTGACCTCCAGAGAAGATCTCATTTGTATCAAACTTTTCTTAAAATCCATTTAATTAATTATCAAGCATTTCATGTATTTTATAGAAATTTGAATAATTGAAGTGCATAAGCTTTATATAGAAAGTTCTGGACAGCAGTATACAACTTAAGACTAAGTTAAATAAGAACATACATGAAAGTTAAATAGGAAAAAAGTTATACCCTAGTTGTAAAACAGCAAAAATTCATGCATGTAAAACAACCTTTTTTTTTTTAAAAAAAAAAAGGAAAAAAAAAGGTCAAAAATTAACATAACAGAAAAATACCATTATCAGTAGAATGAATTACACTTTTTCTTGGAAAGATTTAATCCATGCATAGTTCTGTAAGACTTTAAAGTCCTAACTGTGCACTGAAAAATGTAACTTTAAAAAATGGGATCAATTTGATCCGTTGACTTAAGATGAATTCAGCTATGTGTTAGCTGAATTACTTTTTTTTTGTAATTCTGTATCTTTCAACATGAATTAATCAAGGCAGAAAACCTGGATACAATTTGAATTAAAAGCATCCAAGACCTTACAAGTAGATACTAAAAAAGGCATGTCCCTCAGAAGGGAAGGAACAGGAAATGGTTCTGTGGCTATGAACATCTGAAGCTCAAAGTTTCAGACAATTGGAATATAAAGGTATGAGACCAAAGCAAGTTACCAAGAATTAAGAAAGAATGTGGCCTATCATGTACGAGATGTTCTGTGACATCTGTGGACATACACATTTTTAACCTTCCACCGGATGCTCTTTTTTGCACTGAAGTATAAGCTAAGAAATCTTGCATTCATTTCATAGCAGGAGCATATATAAGCAGTGATGACAGTGTAGACAATACACTATAAATGAACATATGTGGTACATCCAACAGTCTAAGAACTTTATCAGCTGACAGAGACTAATAGCCAAGAAAAATCATAAGGAAGTCATTTGTGGATTACACTAAGAATGTTGGTAATTAAATTAAACTTGAGTTATAAATCGACTGGTCAAAAATATTTGTCTATTCTTTATTGTAATCTCATGAATGGCTTTGCATTGTTTTGCATAATGTAACTTGAGAAGTGATGAAGGAAAAGTCATGGTCTTAGTTATTAAACACTGAATACCTTTAAGGGAAGGACAACGTAATACATCTTCATCAGTACCTGTCACTTAGTTCAAATTAGCATAGCTTTCTTCATCCCTTGGTAATGCTATTAAACAGAAGTTACACCAAATTATAAAGTATGCAGCTATCTATACTCAAATTTCAGATCTGAGCAGTCTAATCCTTGAGAATTAAATACAAAGTAAAAAAGAAAAAAAAAAAGAAGTTCTTGCTCACCATAAAAGAACTTTTTAATAAGCTTAACTGGCACCATCACATTTCCTCATTAGAATGGGACTTTTTTTTTTAGTATTACAACATGAACAGAATAAGATAGCATCTAATATAGTTTATTCATCTCTTGCCAAATGTTTCCAGTACAGAAGCTGAAAAATGTAATGATTTTAATTAATCTCATGTTTGCAAGTGATTAGCATTTACTCTTCTCATTGAAGCCAACAGGAGTCACTAAAGCCAGGCAGCTTTGAAAAGAAGGATGATTCCCATACTTATAGATAGATTTTGCTAAGTAACTCTAAGCTACCTACATTTGAAATTGTTGGTCTCTGGAAATCTAAATCTCTCTAGTGACAGCACATCCAACCTTCCAAAACTTAAACCCTTCTAAACTGATACCCACAGTGAATAGACTTATTATTGTGTTTATGTAGTGCTGGGGGAGCACACGGTACTAAGCAATAACAAAATGTGCCAATCCCCTACTACAATTTCTACCCCAAAGAGCTGAAAGGGTGCAAGCTATAAAGCACAGGAAATGCAAAACACAATACAACACAGACAGAATGACAAGTGGTTGTTATTACTGAAATGCGTTACAAAATTAAGTGGATTTTGAGGAGTTTTTGAAGGAGGATAGTGAAGGATCTTTACGTACGTTAATTGGGAGGCTGTTCCATGTGTAGGAGGCAGCGTGGAAAAAGACACAAAGTTGGGAGTGAGCAAAAGAGACAAAAGGGGAATTAAGAGCGATGCTTGGGAAGTGCTGACAGTAAAGGAAATGAAGACCAAGTTTAAGCCAGAACCAAGAATGCCTTGAACATGGCTAACCTTATGCAAGGGAGGAAAAAGAATTCCTGGCAAGGGCTTAAGAAGCAAGGAAACATGGGCTATTATACAGGAAAGGAGAAATGATTTGTGTAGCATGTACCAAAGAAAAAAAAATAATAAAAGAGCATTAAGAAGTGGGAAACCAGTTCACATCAAATAACTAGCGTAACAAACATTTCAGTCTCAAACAATAGAAAATAATTAACTTCTCCGTGATTATGACTAAAACCCAGCCAGATGTGAGGAGTGGTAAGTACATTAGACTGCAGTCAGTCTTTATCTAAAGCTGTTAATCATGTGAAAAATCACCACACACTGTAAAAAACACACACCCAAAATAAATTCAAATGGAAAAGGTTAGAAAAAAAGGTGTTTTAAACATGCCATTCAATGTAGCAGTTCAATGTGTTTGTTGTGATTGTTCTATAAAATGCGTAAACTCATTTGATGCACAAATAAATTCTGTCCATACGGGGTTTTAGCTGCTGCATTCTTATTCATCATCACTGTCACCAGTTATGAGAAATACACAAACTCTCAGCATACACTAAACTTTGGTGAAGAAAACTTCTAAAATACAAAGCTACTACATTTGAAAAATCAAATGATATTTTCAAAGCATAGGAAAGGGAATGAAATACCATGTCTTTACTTGTTCTGAGCCAGAAGTACCTTTTTACATGGTCTAAATTTATTTTCCTTCCAGATTACAAATTTGTGTCATTTACAGGCACACATTAATCAGGTCTTGAGAGCTAAGTATAAAAAAAAACTGACCAATTTGTTAATAATGTTAGTAAAAGCAACTTCTATATTACTGAAGCTTTAAAAAAACGATATTGGAATTAACATTGCCAATTCCTCTCCTTGCCGGTATTTTCAAAGGAATTACAAGCATATCGATTGTTCTTAGTGTTTCATTTCTTTTGGGTTTAAGCACAAATCCAGGTCCAAGCAACTCATACCTTATCAGTAAGCGTGGAGCTTAAATATTTGTACCTCAGTTCAACTCATGATGTCATTGATGTCCAACAGATTATATCAAACCATATTTTGCTGGAAACTTAAACATGGACATTAAGTCTCTACTCTTGTTCCACACAGTGATACTTCATTAGTAGGCCAAATTAGCAGGGCTTACTTATTTTCTTTCCACTCATACTGTCGCAAATTTACTGTTCAGAATTAGATGATTGAATGTTGGTCATTTCCACTGTACCTCAGTGAGAGGACTCAGTAAAGCAGTCTCTCCTTGTTTTCTTTGTGTGTGTGCGTGTAAGTATGTGCGAAACTGCAGAAAAAACAGAAAATATCAAATATATTTCCAAACTCTAGTTTAGAAGGTCTCAATTTAGGAATGCTTTCCTTAAGTCCATTTAGAGCTTGTAGAAAAATTCTTTTACCTTCAAAATATGATTTGACTTTAAAAAAATTTACATAGCCTTTCACAGGTTTTTAAAACTTACAAATAACAGGATGTCAGTTAGACCTTTAATTACAGAGAAAGAAATACTGTATCTCTGCGCTATACGAACGTATGCCATATACATGTCACTTTGAAACAGATTATATTACACTATCTCAAACACTCAGGGAAATCTCTACTTACCCACAGATCATGTTCAGCATAATCAAACAGCAGCCAAACCTTTCTGTCACTATGAGAAAGGAAAACCTTCTGCAATGCAATCACGTTAGGGTGCTTCAACTCTCGTAAAAGCTGCAGAGAAATAGAGAAGCTCTTGTTACTTCTGTGCTTGTGAAGAAAACAGAACAAAACAAGTCTTAGCACAAATAGCAAACGAGTAATGCTAAAACACGCCCTAGAAGAGCCATCACTGATTGAGTTATCTTCAGAAAGGTCAAAATCAGGATATACACAGCCTCTGTGGCATGGATTGCTGCTCTGCCAACACAGCTGACCCTGAACCAGCCACCTTTGTCCTGTACTCAGCATATAGCTATCCATCCCATGTGCCCTCAGCTTCTATTTTTTGTTTCTAAAATGCTATTACACACAAACATAACCATTATCACAGGTGAACATCCAGATTTGAGTATGTCAGAATGAAGCTTATGCAGCTGGTCCAGTTCTTTGTGCGGATAACACAATTCTTGATCACCACGTAATTACTGTATTACTGACAATTTGTTTTGCACTGGATCCCTGTCTGACTTGCCTTGAAGTCCCCTGGGTTGTTGCTCTCAGAACATAAGGGCATTTTCAAAGGAAGGTTTACCAAAACCATTTTTCTAATGGTTGTTGCAGCTACTATCCTGTAATCCAGAAATAAACCCAAGCTTATTTACTGGTTGCCAGAATGAAAACTAGGCCTCATGACTAATTAGACAGCACATTAAAGGAGGCACCACTGTTGAAGTCATCCTTCTGCCAGATTAAATCAGTCTCAGGAGGAGTTGGGAAGCAGTAGTCCCAAAAACATAATTTCCATGAAATCGCTTTTTTTTTTCCCCTCCATACTGCCATCTCTAGAATGATTGATCACTTCTGTTTTATCTGTAAATTGCTTGCATCTGCAGGACTAGTATATAAATTGCCAAGAATCAATTTATAATGGCAAAACAGTAAATGGAGTAGGTTCCAAGGCACATTTGAGAGAAATTAATCTTCCCCTTTCTCACCTGACAGAAAAAGACTCAATACATTTATTTGGGGGGAAAAATAAGGAAAAGGATTAATTTGAAATTATATTATCCTTTTTCTATATAGATATCTGTCAACACAAGAAATCTTCTAATGTTACAACTGCTTAAATCTATTCCACTTTTCAGAACATTAAATCAATTAAATAATTTTTCTCCCATGTAGGAAATGTTTTCTTCTTTGTATTTGTTCCTCTCCCTAACACTGAGCATTTCTAGCTGTAAAAGAAAGAAATTTCTCCCTAATGAACTGATCAATAGTCATGTCCAGGTACCACTTATGAGACAGAGTTATAATTTTGCCACTTAACAAATCATAGCAACGTGCAGAATTATAAACTAACAGAACGCTGTAGACTGAAACCATTTCTTTGACATGCATCAAGAGATGTTGCTTGTCTTTAATAATATTAAAAACTTTTTCAGTAGGGAACGTGATGCTGATGCCTTTTTTCTTGGCTTTTTTAATAAACAGTATCTCTCAATTTAGGATAATTTTAACTAAAAACCATTATAGTAGGCATATTATTTTTTTTAATTGCTATTAGATTTTTCTTAAAGATACTGTTGGCAGCAATAGCAATATAAAATAATTCCAAATTGTTGATGGTTTTTAGGGAGGGAAAAAAAAAGCGCATTCTCTCAAAATAATAAAATAAGTAAAACTTTGCAGTAGGAAACAGCCAAAGAGTATATAGTTCCATACCAAATGCTAGCATACAGTAAACAAGTTAACAGAAACATTATATCAAGCATAAGGTTAAAAAGAATGCCTGAAGTGTTGTGCATTTTCAGAAAGGTGGTATATGAAAACAAGGCAGGAATATGTATACTCTGCAGCTCTCAAGCATCTCTACTCACACCATGATACACAGAGAAAGCAGTGTGTACACAGCAGTGGTCACCATTTATCAGAACAGCCTGATTAATAAATGAAACCCGAAATCTCTCCTTTTCATGCAAACTAGTGCAAAAGGATACTTTCTTATTAAAGTGGTACATTTCTTATCCAAAACAATGACATACACTCATTTTCAATAAGTAAGTTATTTCTAATGAATTATTCTCCTTTCTGATTCAACACAGATGACACAACAAGCACCTTTCTCCAAGCCCAGCATTTTTCACACAACAGAATCAAATTATTAGTGGTATGATCTTAAATGGCGACTTTTGCAAAAAACATGAGAACATGAGGAAGAGATCGTTATGTCACTTTTATACTACACGTGTTGAATTTCCAACAGCGAACATCTGTATCTGAACTGAAGCATAGAGTGCTCTAAGGACAACAAACAGGCTCTGCAAAAAAGTTCTGAGGCTCTATTTTTCAGCTACTGGAGCACTGGTTACAGTTGCAGCCACAAACGGCAAGAACCAGATTAACAAAGTCTGATTCGCAGGTTACAGGCGCACTCTCTACTCACCTGCTTCTCGAGTCTTCTCTGCTCAGAAAAGCTTGCAATAATTCATTTTCAATAAGACATGTTGTAAATTAACATGTTAAAAGCAATATGGTTATTTTTAAAGTTGCAATCTAGAAGATGCCAAGATGTTCCAAACACATTAATCATAGTGGCTACATTAGCCTTATAAAATAATAATTTTTTTTCTCTCAAAAAGAGCAGTTACAAACCAAAACATTTCAGAGACATGAATGCTCACCACAACACAGCTTTTCTAATAGTTATATTTAAGATATTCATAATTTATTCAGAACATTTATGGACTTGATTCCCCAACTTAAACTCATTCTGTAATTATTTATACACCAACCAATTTTAAACACTAGACTGAAACTCGCCAAATCATCTTCTTCCATCTAACAGTGTGTAACAGAAAATACTGATTAAGTTATTAAGAATATTTTAAAAAGTTTTTGTGTTATCAATTCTGTACTCCAGGAGATGAACACATTTGTAATCAAGGAAGAAGGCAACTAAAATTTTATGGTTTTCTCATGTGTCTAGCTTAAGTGAATGCTTTAGCACTTACGTATAGTAATTCTGGAAGTGCTTTTGTAGTTTCAGCAAACAGACCTTTATACCTTCTTCTACTGCTGAGCCACAACCCTAATGTAACAGGATGACGTAAGAAATTTCATGTAAAGCAGATAGCTGCAAGTGGAAAGAAGTGGCGCACATGCAAACCAGAATGGCTTTAAACAGCTTTATTACATTCTGGCCATCATGACTGGTATTACTGCAGCAGCGAGTGCTCCAGCAGCAGGAGCCAGACCAAGGAAACGCCAGATCCAGAGTTCAACGCACTGAGTCAAGAATTGGAGCTCTGCTCTAGTTACACTACACTTGCAACGGTGCTAGACACCAACTAGATGAGATCAGAAACGAAAGCTTAGGGTACAAGTAACCAGCACAAGTCACAAACAGAAAAATAGGTCAGATTTATGCCTAAAAATAACCTCATCTAGAGACATGACTACAGCAGAAGAGAGGGTGACCACAGGGACTGAACTGATGTTATCCACAGGTACATAAAGAGTAGAGATGAGCAGAGTATTCAAAAAGCATCAGAAAGATGCTATCAGAAAGGAATATAGAGTAGAACTAAACACACAGATATGCAAATCAAGAGACAGCAAACCTGAGACAGGTGTTTTGACAAGTATTGATCTAAGGTTTAGCTAAAAGAAGCCAGAGATTTCGGAAACAGTATTTTCCTTAAAGCAGACAGGCGGAAGCCAATTGTGTGAAAACATGAGGATGTATTTAAAGCTACTTGCATCATGGTTGTATCAACTACCTACTCTCATGACTTTTACATTTGACTAGAATTTTGCCAATATTTAACTTCTACAGCAATCACCTAACTGTATTGTCATTAATTTTTGTCTAAATGGCTTAAAAATCACATATTGCCTTAAAGGATGTCAGAGCAGCACTCAGTTCTTCAGCTAACCCTAATCTTGAAAACAAAACAAAAACAACTCATCTCATGCTAGTTTGTCACTTGTGCTTTTCCACCAGCTTCTGCTGTGAAGGCCTGAGGGTTCCTATAGCTTTTGTGCAGGCTGAAAACAAACCTGCCTTCAAATTCTTCGAATAAGGGAGCAAAAGAGCTAACTTTTAAATATCTTGTCCAAATAGGAGATATCGGGCAGAAGTGGGGGAAGGAGTGGTGTCATAAGACTTAGTTAGGTAAGACTTTAGCTTAATCTAATGGCTCACCTTCCAGTTTCGCCCTTCCACTACTCCCTTTATTAGCTATCACATGCCACATACATTTAATAGTTGTCATGCACCTTTTCCTGAAACGGTTGAACTTCTGTTGAACACCAAAAATGTGCATTTTAGTCCTAGCTATAAGCCCAAGGACCATGTCAGAGACATGGAAAATCATTGCCTACAGCTTTTCTGCACTACAGATTGCCATATAAATATTAAACATACAAAACAGAAAAATGAAAGCTAATACCAATTTTTCTTAGGCGTTGTGCAGAAGCAAATCAGTTTGGAGACTTGGTTAATTCAAGTCTAAAAATAGCAAGAAGAAATTAATATACTGTCCTAGTAACTGAACGATTCCAGAGTACCTGAAAAAAATTTTATTGCACGTTTACACCTGTACATAAAAAAACTACTAGAATTTATTACAAAGTGAACAGAGCATCATCTTTTAATAGTTATTTACCTTACTGTTCCGCTATAATTTAAGTTACATCACACCCAACTTGCAGTAAAATGCTAATAAAAGCCTGTCTCTCAGGTGAGTTCCAGTACATTTGTTTCATAGAATCATAGAATCATAGAATCCTTAGGGTTGGAAAGGACCTTAAGATCATCTAGTTCCAACCCCCTGCCATGGGCAGGGACACCTCCCACTAAACCCCATATCACCCAAGGCTTCGTCCAACGTGGTCTTGAACATGGCCAGGGATGGAGCATTCACAACCTTCCTGGGCAACCTATTCCAGTGCTTCAACACACTAACAGGAAAGAATTTCCTCCTTATATCCAATCTAAACTTCCCCTGAGTTTTAACCCCTTACCCCTTGTCCTATCACTACAGTCTCTAATGAAGAGTCCCTCTCCAGCA